CATTTTGAAAATATGAAAAAGCAGGCAGATATTAGTGGCTGGGAGTTTCGGAATTATGTCCTTTTTGCTTCTTCCACCTTTACCCCTCCACTCTGCAGCCCGACCCCGATCCCGACCTCTCCTGCTCTATTCATCTGTTATTGAATTCTTCGCATTCTCCTGTTCCTTATCCACGTCCTTAACCACTGTTTGGCTGTAGTGTATATTTCATTAGGAGGCAAAAAATTCAAAGATTTGAATGGTTAATTGTGCTTGTTCTGATGTGAAATATTTTTAAGTATAAAAAGGATGATTGGGAAGGGATGCTACGGCGTATGAAGGAGATTCGCAGCAGTATCGGTGAGCTAATTCGCGTGGCTGTGCGTCGAACACTGCCACTGACACAAACTTATGAACGTGTCATCTGTCGTAATTTCTTGAAAAATATGATCGTACGATTTAAGTAAGTTTTTTTTCTCGTTTACCTTCATTTTCATTATAATTTACTTCAGTTCTAAGCACAGCGAATTTACTTTCACAGCCTTGCCACATAACTTTTCCAATTCATCATAACTTTGCAGTTTCAGTCATAATTGTAGTGCTTTTTTCTACTGCTGTCCTTATTTTAATACAAATTTGATCAGTAATTAGTTGGCCAGTGGTTGGCGAAAAGCAGATAAAACGCATGAAATTACGAATAGTTTTGGCTTAGTGACCACTGGTGAGCTGGTCAGCTAAGTTAATGAAGAATTAATTAGTCAATTTATTTGTTAATGAAATCAGTTAGTCAATTTGTTTAGAAGCAGAGTACGAAATCCAACAATCCCATCGATCTGCCAGGAATGTATGCTTTGTTCACAGCACAAAAAACCATGTGTATTAATTGACAGCAACGAGGGCTTGGTAAGTTTGCGCATAAACTTCAAGACCGCTTAGAAAGGATAGTTTCCACCAATTTTTCAAGGTCATGCTTGTTTAAGGAAGATATGAGTGAAAAGGAACTGCTCTTCAGCGACTCGCTTTTCGAGATTGGTCGAGATTCAACACTCGTATTTCAAAAAAACACGAAAAACACACGCTTTGCAGATTTATTGAAACACCATATTTCATTTAAAACTCTGCTTGAGCTTGTATTTTAAACTGCGAAATTCTCTCATCTCTTCCCAGAAAGATTTATGAAAGATAGAACTAGCATTCGCGATGTTGATCACTTTTCGACCGTCGATTACCTCACTGACGCACTTTAGAACAAATAAAAAATTTCGACGTTTGAAAATATGCTATTTGTAGAAAGGTAGAAAAAGCAGGCAGTCAGATTTTACGCCCTTATAACCACGTGGTGTAGCTTAATTATCTGGTTTTTCGAACTTCGGTTGCTCAAATTTTTCATAAGATAGCCATCATACACATCTCACATTCGCCGAAAGCCATGCACATTCAGATGCATATTCTGATAGTTTGTATAAAAAATGATATAAAACAAAACCTACCCCTATTTCGCGCAAGAGGCAAGCACCGCCGCAAAAACTACGCATGATAGCGTTGCTGCAGCACGCATCTGATGGCGAGGTTGTCGATGGCTCTCTCTTTGGAGGTTTAGTTGAAAGCAAGCTGGTTGTGGTTCCACTCCCCTGGTCAGTACAAATTTACCGCCGAAGTGAATGAACGGTTCGTAGAGAACTTGTTTTGCTAATGGCAAAGTCG